CATCGGTTTCGATCTGCCCTGCAGATGGAGGAGACCCCGGAGCACCACCACCAGCACCAGAACCACCAGCATCAGCACCAGCAGCACCAGGAGCAGCAGGAGAAGGAGCAGGAACAGCAGGCGCAAGAACAGCAGGAGAAGAAGGGTGAGAAACTTCACCAGAAGTCGGATCAACAGTAGAAACAGTACTATCCTGAGAACCGCTCTGCTGAGCACTCTCTTCCTGTTGAGACTGTTGGAGTGATTCCCCCTGGGTCTGGGACTCAGCTAGCCCCTCCGGAGTCAGACTGTTTTTCTTCAGTTCTGCTTCGGCAGCTTCCTGCACAGCTTTGATGACTTCCTCCAGCTCTTCAATATCCTTCTTCGTTCTTTCAGCTTCCCTTAATGACTCCTCAGCGTCATTAAATGCACTCTCTGCTTTTTTCACGGCCGCCAGAGCTTCTTGTGCGGCAGACACCATGTGTTTCCAACCCTTGGTAGTCGCGTCACCCAATAAATGTCCGGGGGGACGTGTATTCGTGTATCCTTTTGCTTTTTTTATCTCTGTGTTTGCATTCCGTACAATCTTCACTGCTTCCGCAAGTTTGGCCTTCGCTTCGTCTGCGTTCCCCCCCGCTCGCAAAGCGGCCCGACGAACTTCACTTGACCTCGTGATGGCGTGCTTAGCGCTTTCTTCTGCGATCGACGTGTTTTTTTTGGCCGCAATGAATATCCTCTTTAGCTCCGTGAGATTCAGTAGCATCAGTTTGACCTGCTCGATCCCACCATCTGTGGCAGCCACTGCTTCCGCCGTCTTGCTTCGCGCATCGGTGCAATTCGCGATGGCGAGAGCAGACAGATTGAGCGTATTCTCGATGCTTTCAAATATCTTTTGGGCATCTTTCTTCAACGCATCTGCTTTCTGCTGCCTCCCCGTTGTGGATTTTAGCACCCTCAATTTATCTGCCAATGCAAACGCTGTCGTATGGGCAAGCCTTGAAGCAGTCAGGGCTTTCTCCGCTGCTGTCTTAGCCTCCGTTGCCTTCGTCACGGCTTCCTCCATGCCCTTCTTTCCCGCCTCCGTCATTGACACAGCGAGGGAAGACATGTAGTATACATCCACGGCATCCTCGGGATCAAGCGCTGTCGCATTGCGCTTCTTGTGGGGGTCGTCGTCCAGCGGCCTCATCCGGTCCCGAGGCCCAAAGTCTCGGACACCCGGGCCATGACCGTAGAATAACAGACTTAAGTATTCGTGTTTGGTCAGCATTCTTCTCACACCGTTTTCCGTCGTGAACCTACTGGGCATCTGCCAGAAAGGCCTCCGGTCCCCAGCCGCCGCGCACAAGGACGTGCAGCACAGCGCGAGTGCAAGCAGGGGCAGCAGGTGCCGCACCATCGTCACCATCAATATAGAATGCGGCGCACAGGTCTGCACAGGAGGAAGAGAGACGCACAGAAGGATGCACAAGCACAGCGCGAGTGCACATCGCAGCAAGGGCATACATACAGGATGCACAAACATCATGCGGAGGCAGCAATCCGGGGTGTCGCACAGTTGGACACTGAAAACAAAACAAAGCTACAACATCCAGAAGAAAACACGAAGGAACGTCGCAGATGCGAAGCAAATTTATGCAGATAGGTGCATTGGGGCATATATCTCCAGTCTGAGGTGCCTGCCTGATAGCGTCCCTCTGTGCAGTCGGCGTGGTGTAGCGGGAGGCGGTGCGGCCCGCCACGCCGCAGCGCATCACACAGGAGGAGCAGCAGCAGGAATGGAAAGAAAAGAAAAGGGCTGCAGCAGCCAAGGGAATTGGACTGCAGGGGTGCACACACACACAGCGGGGAGAGCAGCACCACACAGACCTCCTCCCAGCAGCAGCACACGCAAGAGAGACATTTAGAAGAACCATGTAAGTAAAAAAGAAGGATATTTAAGGGACGAAGCACACCCCCGTCAAAAGCAAAGCCCTGTTGTAAAAAACAAAAAGAAATGACACTCCCCTCATCGACACAGTGGAGCCCAATGAATAATGTCGAGAGTCTCATGGGACGGCCTTGGTCCCACAGCAGTAGCGAAGCAATGAAATGAAGTGAAGTGTGGTCTTGTCATGCGGGATGGTGCCGTGAAGACTGTAGCCCCTTCGGTGGGATCGTCGTCTCGCTGACACAAACGGCTTACGAAACCGAGCAGCCAATCTACGCCCCAATCACCAACAGCAGCGGCGGCGCACACATCCACCCTGTTGTGCCGCTGCCGTCTGTGCTGCCACTCCCACCCATCACGGCACTCACAACACTGCTCGATGGAAGCAGAGGAGCATCATCCTTATCATTGACTGCAGAGGGTTTCTCCCCAGTGTGTTCATTAGACGTTGCGGCGATGTCAGCGGGCTCACTTGCAGGGAGCACAGTCGTTTGCTTCGCCGCCTGCAGACCGTCTGGCTCGTCTCGACGCCGTTCTGCCTCATGTCCTCCATTTGACGGCACAGGAACCTCAACGCTCTCTTCAGGCCCTTCATTCAATGCGTCCGTGGCAGCCTCCCCGTTGGCTTCTTGTTTATCCTGCAAGGGTGGTTGAGTGCTTCCCTGAATAGTCTGTGGCTTCACAAGTTTGGTGTTGGTTGGTTTCGAACCTTCTTGGGCAACTCTTCGTGCGGCTTCTACAGCCTCCAAGGTTCGCTGAGCCGCTTTAACGGCTTCCTTCGCCTTCTCGAGTGCAGTTATGGCTTTTTGCGCTGCACTTTCTGCCTTTTCCAGCATATTCCTGGCGTAATGTGTAGTATTCCACGCGTCCTGCCGTGTTCGCTCTTTGATGTCACTTGTGTCCCACTGAGCGGCATCCTCCGTCTTAATACCCGCAACGATTCCAGCGCGGACCATTGCGTTCATGGCGTACAGCCCTGTCGTCAATGCACTCTTCCAAGACGCCGTTATGTCACTGAATGAATCCTTGGCAATATTGCTTAGGTCCAGCACCGCAGCCAATGTGGCCGCTGCGTGTTCAGATACCGA